ACGAGAAACACCGACGACGACCACGAAGAAGAAGAAGAAGAAGAAGAAGAAGAAGAAGAAGAAGAAAGAGAAGAAGAAGAAGAAGAAGTAGAAGGAGGAGGCTGGAAGGGAAAGGCACAAGTGGTATAATCGTGATAAGCAGGTGATAGATGCTCCTCAGGCTCTGCACTGCCGTGGCTCCTCGCAGACAATGGCTATTTGTTTCTGCCTCGACGAAGAAACACGTCCTTCCCTTTCTCTCTTCATCCTCCACCCCGTGCCCCCTCTCCTTCTTCCGCCAACAACTCCTGACACTCCCCCTCCCCCACCATCCCCTCGAGTCCAAGTGGAGGAGAGCTCGTCTTCTCCTCCACGTGAAACGATTCCTTGGGACACCCCTCGGCTAAATCGCATCGACAGATAATCACAACTTAATTTACCCCCCGCGGGGTAAGTGGTAGTGGTAGCCACGAATACACAACCGAGTCACAACCACTTCTACCACTAAAGTGATACGGTTCCATCGTTCCTGGAACCGCGTATTACCTCTTCTTCATTGTATGCAGATAGAGGGAGGGAGGGAGAGCCCGAGTATCGAGTTTTGGGTGGAGCCCCTCTTTGGGAAGGATCGAAGGGAGGATTTGGGGTGATATTCGGGGTGGGCATCTTCCGGATGTCTTTTGTATCGCGTGGAGATATATGATAGAAATGAGAGACAGAGAGAGAAAGAGAGAGATAGTTACAGTTGAAATAAATGCTCTACAGCGTCTTTCAATTTTCATATTTTTATATCTCGTTACGACTCTCGTTAATAGTCCACGAAGATTTCAATAAAAGCCGTTCTCGAAAACGGAATCACGGATAGGTTAAAAAGTCGGCCGAGTCATCGCCTCATTAACGTTCCACGATCGTCATTAATCATCCGTGCGGGCCCATTGTGCCGCCGAGGAGAGGCGCGAGCCCCGCCACGTTACAGCGGAAAAATCAGAGTCGTCGGGCGAGAAAGAGGGAGCCGTGAATCGTTGGCAAATGAATTTTAATGACGAAAGGAGGGGAAGGAGGGGCCCGATCGGGCCCCATTTGAATCCACCGCCGATGATTGATACATCAAATGCGAGGAGGAAGATCGGATTCCTCTTCGATTCGTCGAAGAAATTCGCGGCATCGGACTTTGTTTCGTCTTCGCGTTTTGGAATTGCTTGCTGATAAGATTCCAACGAATTTGACTTGAAGTCGGAAAGAATTCTTTCTCCTGTATGAAAAAAATCATATTTTATGAGTATAGTAATGTGTCTCGAGTGTAATTGCTGTGACAATTCCGTCAAATTAAATTCGAACACAAGGAGATTGTAATCGTGGAATTGCGCTATAATCACTGAATAAATTGCAGAAAATATATTCACTGACATTTTAATGTACATTTTCGTCAAAATGTGGAATTGCGTATAATAATAATTGAGAAATTTAATAAAAATAATAACACGTACAAATTCATTGCAGAATATGCATGGAATTATGACTGAGCAATTGTAAATTTATAAACTTTTTGTTTAATATAAATCGTGTTTATAATATAATTGTCAGGACAAATTCAAACTTCTTCAAACAAATTCAAACCGCTCGGTTCTAACAATTTCAAATCTCAATACGATTTTTCGTTTCAAAGATCATCTCTTATCAATCTCATTATTCCCTTCAACTTCAAAGAATAAAAACTCTCTCTCGATTCGACAAAAGCCAGTTTCCAAGTTTCTCACTCATCAAACGAGCAATCGTCTTTCAAAAATTAATCGAAAGAAGAGAAATCAATTTTTTCCCCCTCCCTCTTATATCTAATATCAATTAAAACAAACATCTCCTCTTCCTTCCAACGTCCAAAACTTTTCGTTAATTTTAATCATTTTAACGAAATTTGCTCTTACAGAGAAGAAAAAAAAAATACGCTCGTATACACGCTTGTAAACCAATGGAATAGTTAAATTAAGCACATGTTAAGCATTTAAATTACAAAATATGGAATAAATTACGTGTCGATCCTCTCTCTCTCCTTTTTTTCTTTCTCTCTCTCTCTCTCTCTCTCTCTCTCTCTCTCTCTCTCGATCTCACCGTTCAATCAAGAGACTTTCGAACAGGTATCGGTGGTGATTTTCTCAAACAGACGGCGCGACGCTGCTTCTGGGATCGAGATCGATGGACGTGACATGAGTCGAGGTAAAGTCGAGCAAGGATACATCCACGGGTGTCCCGTATGAATAATTAAAATGTGTCCCCGTGTGCAGGCTATCTTTTAAGTTTATCTACAGATATCGAGGTAAAGGAGGTTTCGTTCACAAGATGAATCGAAGATAAAGGCATCGCTCGTTCCTTGGAATCGTATTTTTGATAATATTGCAATAATATTTCCTTGCGATCGCATCTAAATTAAATCTTTCAGGGAGTAATTGCTCTTTATTTCATTAAGTCGATCGATAGTTCGAAGCACAGATTATCTTTATAATTCGAAATTATCCGTTGAGAATGATTTTTTGATGAAGGTGTTGAAATTGATTTCGTTTATTGTCCACGTAAGATTAACTGCTCGAATTAAAATCTCTTCAACAAATCGATTAACGTCCACCACTTTCAATTTTGTTAATTTATCATTAAAATTGATCGAATTGATTATCGGTAACAACATATCATTAACAATTTATGAAATAAATATATTTAAAAAACCATAATCCGTGCGAGAAAACACCATTACTATATTAAGATCAAACCTAACCTCCAAGACAACCAAGAAATTCAAGAAACAAATTAAACGTAATTTCTTCGAAATAATAAATAAATCTATTCAAAGAACGCGATAAAATCCCACGAATTAAACATAGACCTCCATAATATCAACGATCCAATATCTTTGGACACAAGTTTTCATAAAAACCTAACCTCGATACCTCGTACAATTGCTCCCTTTCCAAACTCCCTGAGGAAACCGAATCGTTTATCAAGCAAAAGGCGAGCATCGAATCATGACAAGCCTGTTCCAAACGTTCCTCGCGTTGGGTCACGTTCTACCGACGAAATTCCAATGCAATCTCTCTCTCTCTCTCCCTCTCTCCCTCTCTCTCCATCCCACGACCGCAGCGCTCGCCGTGGAGAACTTTATTAAAGCTCGATCGGTACCCGAGATATCAGATTCCATGAAGCGGCCATTCGGCCGTTTAATACCACGAAGATGTAACGCGGATAACCTCGCTTTATTAATTAGCCGCTCTAATCTTCCTGGAACTCGTGTCGCGATAGCGGGATCGCGATGCATCACATGCCGCTTCCCTTCGTACGAAGCGCCCTCGTACGAGGCTTCATTTTCGCCGATATTAATTTCGAATCTTCGCGCTTTTGGAGCGAGGAATTTCGAATCAAAATTTGTCGACAATATTATTTATATATCGGCTAACCTCGAATCGAGATCCGTGTACTTAATACAATTACATCTTAAAATATTTAAACGTTCAATTTGCACGTCTACAGATCGCGCAAGTTTATCTAATGGTTCGAATCCGAAGCGCATGCGCGGCGCGGGAATGTTGAACGTCTCATCATAAAGAAACGATAAAGGCGAATCGTTTAGGAGCGTAGACTCTATTACGGTTCATTGTCGGGCAGTAAATTTGTCGGGGAGGCTGATGGAAGGGCAGAAATACAACCGGACGCAACTGAGAGCCCCTGATTACACAGAGGCGCATGACGACTCTATCAGGCCTCCGGCATCGTATGGAATATCCGTACAACTCGCACACAGGCGGCCGGTGCACGGCCGTCTCGGATGTTCCACGGTTGTACAATCGTGGTGTACAAGCGTAGACTGAAAAATATATACGGGAAGATATCGCGGATGGTGTTCCCTACCACCACCTCGAATATCACCCTCCCCGGGGTCGGATGGCATTAGAGAGGAGAGAGCAGGAGGAGAAACCCGTTCACCATTAAACAATGCTTAAGGTAGGCCTATACCGGCTCGATCTTATCGTGATTCAATGCTCCTGCCAACTTGTCCGCTCGTCGATACGGCGATTTTTTTTAACTCGTGTACGGGCGATTAAGTGGAATTTAGACGACGTCCAACATGGCGGGCATCGATGGCGAGAATATGGCAATGGATTGGATTGGATCGTTGAGGTTAGGTCGAAGTGGATTGGCAGGATGAGAGTACTACTTTTAGGTTATGTTGCGATCGATTCTCGAGGTGGTAATCCGGTAAGAGGGCTTTTATGTTTTGTTGCAAGAGAGTTCTAGGTTATGTTGGCCGATTGGTACAATTGAATTTACAATTTAGAGATTGCACTTTCTAAAGTTATTTAGAAAGTGGATGAAGATTTTTAGGTTAGGTAGAAAATCAACTATTTGTTTCAGTGATTTTATAAGGTAAGTTGTCTTATCTTTTTATTAAATTTGCGATTTAAAAAAAAAAAGTCGAGATAATTGAAGATTTTCTGTTTTATTAAATTGGCGGTTTGTTGGTTATATAAAGAGAAATCTTTGTCTGTCTTATGAAATTATTGAATGAAATTAGTTGTTTTAAATAATATATATATATGTGTGTGTATAGTATAGGATTTGATATAATAGCCCGAGGTGTTAAGGGGCGGTGAAGATGAGAAACGAGTTACCTTGTTTCCACGTAATTAGAATCGCGAGTTAAGTTACTAGTGGAGAGATTGTGTATCATGAAACACCGAGTAGTCCGATCTTATCGGTAATCTCGATCATGTAAGAGTTGAGTTCAAGTTACCTTGATTTACAATCTCATTATAGAATTCGAAAGAGTGAGCTTGTATAAGTATCTACATCTTTACGGAGCAATAAGAAACGAAAGACGAGAATTATCACTAGCTAACCCAACATGATGGAAGATAAATTTATGTCTCATTATATAAACCAATTGATCGATTCTAAATATAAATTTTTCTGAGATATTTTCATATTTCGATACGATCAATACAATCTCTGCATTAGACCAGAATTAGAATTGGTATTCATCAATCACAAGTGACACTTGCATCAAATAAAATGTGAGATTGATCAAAAATTAAAAGTTCTAATTCAAGATCTAGAGATACCTAGAAATCTAGGGAATTTTAAAAATCTTAAAAATTCGAACTATTGTGAGTTATAGTCAACGCATCTTCCTTGAATTGACGAATGTATTATTAATGAGATAGAGGTCTGCGCGTGATTACTCGTCAATCCCAAAGAATTTGTTTAATCTAATCGATCTATTAATATTAAACAGTTGATTTTTTGGCACCGGTTGTGGTTATCGCCCGTGTAAAGATCACGTCCTGCGAAAATTAACGTGACGAACACGCGCCATGAATCCTAATCGAACGATGGCAAGCCAATAAATCGGTTCTTTATCCATTGACCGACCGGCCATAATTAGACTATCAATTTCCTCGTAACGTCGTGTAATTTACCGATCATCATTTTCCTCTGCGATCGATTCTTTGCACGTTCGACCGATCCGTTCCTGTGATTGTCAACGAGTCCTTGATTGTAATTTGATGTTTGGCCAATTTGAGAGAATAAATTGTATTCCTTTTTAGAGTACATTAAAGCGATATATATATCATTACGTGTCAAAATTTTTCTTCGAACTATTGATTGCTTTCTGTAATTATTATACTTTACGCAAATATAATCCAAAATAAACAATTAACTAATTATTCTTTTCAAATTACTATTTCTAGTTCTGTTTCTAACAAACAAATCGAACTCGAATTCTTTTTATGTGATCAGCGAGAAAAATAAGATCTAGGAATCCCTAGAATCACTTTAGAGATCCCTAGAACCTTTCTTCGATGCATTTAACGTGTTAACGTTACATCTTCTCGTATATTTTTCACTTTCCACGAATTTCCCACTCTCCTCATCCTCGAAAATCTCAATTTAATAATAGATACCTGTCCAAACTCAAAATAGTCGACTTCCAACCAACCCGGATCGACACTCTCCAACAATAAACCCAATATAATTCCCAAAAAACCAACCAGGAGAGAACCAACGTAATGGCGGCGCGTTGCCCCGCGCATTTTTCCCGGCAACGTTACCCGATATCCCATTATTAATCTAATAATGATAATGATGGTGTAACGCAACTCGAGCAAACCGGGTACGATACGTGAACGATTCTAAAAACCGGGACAGCCGCGGTTAAACACACATTTTAGGCCCGCCAC